GAAACAAGATAATTTGCTCCTGCAGCAGAACATATCATCTGCATAGTGTGTAAATGTTGTTGTTTTTTTCCTTTGTTTTGCTTCCCTTAGCTTAGAAGGTCAGCAAATCATCAGGAAATCTAAACTTGCTGGAATCTCAATACATTAGTGTGCTTAATGCTGTCAGCAAAAGCTGCTGACTTTAGCTTACCGAATGAGAAACAAAGTTTCTGGACAGATAATTGGGAAGTGATGAGAGCAGAGACACTCTGGAGCTTTAATTTTGCATATTTCTACATTCCTAAAATTCTCCAGTCCCTTATTTAGGGTCCTAGGTTTGAGGACTAGAAGAATACTCAGCAAAGCAACATCATTAAATCAAAACTCTATCATACATTAATATAGATTTAGCTCAACATTTACAATATTATTAAATCCTGGATCAGTATTTTTCAGACTAGGCAACTTTAAAAATATGGAAATCTGGATGTTGAAGTCCACACACCTTCAGCTTGCAAAGTTTGGACCCCCCCCATCTAGACCATATAGAAAGTCATTTATTGATTTGCTTCCAACTTAATTATTTACAAATAACTCAAGGCGATGCACATATACAACACACCATCCTCTTCTTATTTTCCCCACAACAACCACCATGTGAGGTGGGTTGGGCTGAGAGAGACTGACTGGCCCAAAGTCACCCAACTGGCTTTTTCATGCCTATGGTGGGATTAGAACTCACAGTCTCCGGGTTTCTAGCTGGCGCTTTAACCACTAGACCAGGGGTCTTCAAATTTGGCTGAGGAATTCTGGGAGTTGAAGTCCAAAAGTCATAAAAGGGCCAGGTTTGAAGACCCCTGCACTAGACCAAACTGGCTGTCATTGCCCTATATTCTCATTTTTACAATATAAAGACATTTCAGTAAACCTCTTCTCGCTACGGGAGTGCCTTCCAAGCATCAGGGAAAGGAAGAGTATTCTAAGGTCACCTGGTAGTTTCCAGATTTATGATTTATGGCAAGGAAGTGTCATCCAAAACATCTGGAGAATATCAGATGTTGAGTCTTCCTAGTGACTGTCTAAGGAGCTGGGAGAAGCCATTTTATATTTTTAATTTAACTTAGCCCAAAGCTACCTTTAGTGGTTGCTATTTATAAAGAAAAAAAAACCCTATTCCTGTCTGGTGGACAGGAAGCCCTGCTCTTTAAAAAGGGAAGAAAACATCTGCATGGTCTTGGTTGGTAAATAATACTCCAGAGGCAAAGTCAGGCCAACCTTCAGTTATCGTTTTGGTTTTAAGAGCAGCTACAGCAGTGCCATCTCAGGAACGGAAAGAAAAATTTTTCACTATTTGCAATAATGTCATATCTAGTAGATAAACTCCATCTGTGTCAGTGCCTTTCCAGATAGAAGTATTGAATGCAGATGTTTATTTTTTTTTTTGTCTTTCTCCTTAAGACCACAAATGTGTGTTTGTATATTCCCATATGCCCACAACTGTGTTTTCCCCTCTCCAGTGTTTGCTTTTTGTTCTTGTTCCATTTTTTTTACAACTACTTCCTTTTTATCTTGAATGTTTTGTTGATGTTTGGTTTGTCCCAATAAAAAAGAATGATAAAAAGCAATGGAAAACTAAAACTAAAAAGGGGGAATGGGGAAAGGCTGTTTATAGTATTCCTGCCCTCTGAGCTTTCACCATCTCCACACCCTCCTTTTTATTTTGAATATTTTTGTGTTAAATACTTTTCTCCACACAAAGGCAACGTATAAATATTTATGATAAAAGGACCCCTGTTCCATTTAAGCCCTAAATTTTCTGCAATAATTAGAACCCTGCCATTGGAATGCACTTCGTGGGGAAAATGGAGAATCCATCACTTGAATGAGTGGGGCATTGCAATTTATATTTTAATGCAATTTTCTAATACTCTAAGGCTGCAAAGAAAGCTGTGGAAACAGCTGATCAATTTAAAAGAAGCCCCCCCCCCCAAAAGCTCTTGGATAAGAAGGATAATTCTGCAGAATAGTGAGGAAGACCTAGATGGAATGAGGAAGATCTAGAAGGAAGTGGTTGGGTGGTTATAGGGTCATCCTGGGACATTGATTGGAAAGAGATTTAGAACAAACAAAGGAAAACACAACCTCACATGGTACAAATTACCTTGAGGACCTCATTGCCAGAATACATGATGATAGCCCTGAACATGGATGACTTTAAAATAAACTGGATAAATTCATGAAGGACAAGTCTAATAAGGGCTATTAGCCTTGAAGACCTAGCCTTACCTCCCAAGTTGTGAGCAGCCTAGTTCAAGTTGCAGGGGAAGAATGGCAGGGGAGCAATTGCCCTCTGTCTTCTTTTTACATGTGTCAGAGAAGCAGTCCCTTGGCCACAATGAGAAATAAGATGTTGGACTAAGACAGAGTTTCCCAGCCTTGGCAAGATCTTGTGTGTGGGTCAAAGGCTAAATAGCTTTGTGAAGACAATAACCATGGCTGAAGTACAGTGGCCAAGCCCTTTGAGGCTGGCAAATGTAGGAAAGAAGAACCCTTTGGATTTCTGGAAGATATTTATTACCAGGAGAATAATATAATACGGGGGTCTTCAAACGTGGCCCTTTTATGACTTGTGGACTTCAACTCCCAGAATTCCTCAGCCAGTGTGCTTGGCTGAAATCCACAAGTCATAAAAGGGCCAAGTTTGAAGACCCCTGATAAAACAGAACCTTGACAGCTTATCAAGGAGGTTATCCTTCTCAGTCTATACATAATGTAATTAAGGAGGAAGTGCTCTAAGTTTCTTTCTCCCCACAAGCCTCCCTACTGCCTTGGGCCAAGGTCTCTCTTGCAATGGTCTTGTCCCAAAGGTGCTTTTTTCCAAAAAGCAACTGGACTTTTTTGGGGTTTCCCCCCCCCCCCTTTGAAACGTTTCGCTTATCATCTGAAGAAGAAGCTTTGAATGAGAAGCGAAATGTTTTCAAAGGGAAAAAAAACAAGAAAGTCCCGTTGTCTTTTGGAAAAAGCGTGTTTGGGACAACCATGACCTGGATGATTGAGAATCTCCATAGACATTTGCAATGGTCTTGTTTCCTCTTCTTCTTTTCAGGTTAGTAAGACATCCCATCCCAACAACTCCCACTTCTCTTTCACCACTGGCTATGCTAGGATAGTAGATCAGCAGCATCTGAAGGCCCACAGACTTGGTAAAAATATTGGGAAAAGCTAATATCTTTTAAAATATTGCTTTGTTAGACACACTGTGTTTGGTCTGAACAAGCCACAGTGATCTAATTTTGACATAATACTAAACCACAAAGAATATTTTACACACTCTGCTGGATTCATAGATCTCATAAAGCAAAACCAAACAAATCCCTTTGTGGCTTAATGTGATATTTGAACCTAGCATGGAGTTAGGAGTAAGGAAAGCAATCTTACAGTGGTTGTTACATACAAAATGTTTATTGAATTTAAGCGACAATTTGGATTTGTACAATGCCTTGGATTCAAGGAACCAGTAGGTTTGTAACTGACCTGGTTAACTGTTTTGTATGAATAGTATAGTAGGTCAGGTTGTAGGCCTGTAGAGATTAGCTCCAAATTAGCTCCATACTTGAATTTGGGATCATTTTGCAGAAGAAGAAGAAAAAGGAGGAGGAGGAGGAGGAAAGAGAAGAGAAAGAAAGGAAAGAAAGGAAAAGAAAGAAAGGAAAGAAAGAAAGAAAGAAAGAAAGAAAGAAAGAAAGAAGTCTTTATGGAAGTTGTAATTATCTCAGACTTTCCTGCAGTGATTTTCCTTTCTCTTCTGTTAATTGCTCTGATGTCCATTTTAATTCCATGGGCCAAGTCCAAGTGTTCTCTAGCCTGTAGGAGGTAACAGTCCCAGCCTCAAGCTGGGCTCCCTGTCTCAAATATACAAAATGCTTCTTTGCCCATTTTTTTTTTACAAGGCTGAGTAATTCACCAGTAGGAAAGGAAAAGGAAGTGAACTAACTCTCTGGAAAAGGACATCTGATAGATGGAAATGGTGTAACAGGACTGTGGGCGATTTGTATCACAAGAGGTTGCACTTGGGGTATAAAGGGGTTTCCCTTGCAACCAGATGGCATCAGGATGTAGAGGGAAGGGCTTGCCAAGGAGAAGAAGATGCGGCATGATATTGTTGGCTTGTTTAAGTGTGTGATATCAACTTGATTTTTTCTTTTTTCGTTTTCATCCTTGGCCCTCTTAGGGACTCTATGCCATCATTTCTGTCTTTGGGTCATAGAAGGGTACAATTTGCTCACCTGTACCTGATGTGCACACATCCCCTGCCTTCTCTTGAAGTTCCAGCTGGACAGGGCTAGAGACATGGAAAGCAAGCCATGTCTTCCACTATAAGGAAACGATCTGCCCTGCTTTAGTGTGACTGCGGGGGTTGTGCCATTGTTGGTCAGTGTACAACATGGATGACATACGTCATGTCCAAGGAGGTCTCACAACATGCTGGCCCACTGAACCTTCATGCCCATTGTGCATTTTATGTCGGAGAATAATAAATTAGTATGCACATAAGGTCTCCGTGCCATCTCGGTGGCTGTACCCTAAATCAGTGGGGCTTCTGGTTGCTTATGCCAGGGGTGTCAAACTGCCGGCCTCCCGGCCGGATGCATCATATCAAAACCACACTCACCCCATTGCCGGCAATGGAAAAAAAGTCACGGTACGTTGCATCACGTCACGTGACATTGAGAGTTTGACACCCCTGGCTTATGCCAAGATATTGGGACCCTGTGTCATAGGACCCATGCCAAAATGGATGGGGCCACCACAAATACTGGATCTGATTTCATTTAATTTCGCAGTAATCAAAGTTAAGTCCTTTAATTATTTATTTAGCCTGTGGTGAAAATGTTAAAAAATATGTCACAGTTACATTCTCAATGAGCGAATATGAAACCATTCACAAACTATTTATACATTCAAAGGTAAAACAGGTCACATTCTTTGTATTGACTTTCTCCTTTCTTTCTTTTTTTTAGCTGCTGATTCTCTACAAAGCTTTATGAAATCACGGAAAAGAACCCATCAACTGAAAATTTCGTTTGAGACATAGGAAAGGAAATAAACTGAGGGGCAAACATGGCTGACTACTCGTCTTATAAAGAGACCTCCAATCGGCATTTGCGCTTCAAACTTCAGAGTCTCAGCCGCCGCCTTGATGAATTAGAGGAAGCCACACGAAATCTCCAGAAAGCAGAGGATGAGCTTTTAGACTTGCAGGATAAAGTGATCCAGGCGGAAGGCAGCAACTCCAGCATGTTGGCTGATGTGGAAACCTTGCGAAAGAGAGTTTTGAAAATAGAAGGCAAGGACGAGGAAATCCGAAAGGCAGAAGAGCTGTGCCAGCTGATGAAGACCAAGCTTGAGGATGAGGAGAGCCTCACCCGAGAGCTGAAATCTGAAATCGAGAGGCTTCAGAAGCGAATGGCTGAGCTGGAGAAACTGGAGGAGGCTTTCGGTCGGAGTAAAAATGACTGTACTCAGCTCTGCCTCAGCCTCAACGAGGAGAAAAACCTGACCAAGAAGATTTCAACAGAACTGGAAGTTCTTAGGGCAAAAGTGAAAGAACTGGAACAGTCAGAAGACCGGCTCGATAAAACAGAGCAAAGCTTAATGAGTGAACTGGAAAAGATGAAATCTTTAGCTCTCATTTTTGTCAGTGAAAGAAAACATTTCACTGAAAAGGAGAAGCAGAACGAAAAGCTGATCCAAGAGCTCACCCAAAAGCTGGAACAGAATAATAAACTTAATCGGGCTGACCAAACTCGCAATACATCAAATCTGCTGGAGAGATCGTCCAATAGTATAATTGACAGAAATGACCTAAGGATTGAGGTTGACTTGACAACTTCAGCACTATCTTCAAAAGAAACCAGGAGAAAAGCCAGCTTGGACTACCTAAAGCTTGTGGAAAATGAAACTCGAAACAAATCTGAAAACCAGAAGAATAAAAACCAAGAAGACAACAAAGTGAGGGACCTCAATCAAGAAATTGAGAAGCTTAAGACCCAGATGAAACATTTTGAGTCTTTGGAAGAGGAGCTTAAAACCCTTAGAGCCAAAAACAATGACCTCCACGACAGCTACTTGAGTGAACAGAATAAGAACATGATCCTCATGGGCCAGCTGGAAGAAATAAAAATAGAGATGAAAAAGCAGAAGGAGCTGGAGAATGGTGAAGCAGAGATGGAGGACGTGAATGTGCCCAGCCGAGTTAAGCACGACCGACCCAAGCATCGAACTGTTACAATTGAGTCAGCAGTTTCTAAGCATAAGTCACGGGAACTTTCACCTCAACACCGGCGGGAGAGGCTACGCAATCGAGAATTGAATAATGAATGCTATGGCCAAAGTAGCAAGCGAGTTACAAGCCCTAATATGAACAGCAGAAGAGCAGCCAAAACATCTGGCACATATACAGTATTAGACTCTTTATCAACTAATGCTAAACGGGTAGAAGACAAATCAACCTTAGGTGTGAACAGTTCTCCGCCAAAAGATAGCGGCACCTCAGCCACCGAAGTGAAGAAATCTAGGGAGCAGCCTTCAGTGCTTAGCCGTTATCCACCTGCAGCCCAGGAGCATAAATCTTGGAAGATCTCTTCAAAACCCAAAAATGAACATACCACAAGGAATAGAGTTGAAAAAGAACCCCAGCCACTGAACGATGCTCATCATGTTAAACTTGAAGACCTCGAAGACCAGCCTAGCAAACCAGAATTCGCAGGACCATCTTCTGAAAAGGGCCTGAAGATGCATGTCACAGAATCACTGGTTCTTACCACTGAGACTCATACCTCCAAAACTAATGGTGGGCCTCCAAATGGTGCTGCTTCATCCTATGGGCAGTATCCCTCAGGGGAAACCCTGACTTCTGAATCCGTGAGCTCAAAGATGGAAGCTACATTTTCAGCTTGCAGACAGCACTTGGAAGAGGACTCTCAAAAGGTAATCAACTTCCGAGAGTCTGTGGAGCCTCCACTTGGAATGACAAAACCTTCTCTTTTATCGAAGCCTTGGCTCATTTCAAAAAGCCAAGAAGATACCTCGCAGAACCATCCAATTGCTCAAAAAGAGGAAATGAACCAAGCTATTTTGTCGACTGTAAACTGCAACAATTTGGACCTAAAAGCAACAAGATCCAAAGCTGTCAATCCCAGCCGCATTGAGAAATCCCGCACTGAGGAAGGGACAAGCAAATTTGGAAATATTTCTGCTACTTTAGACTTAGGAATAAAAAAAGAAACCACTTCCCGAGAATTCACAACCTCCAGGGGATCCGCTCACATCTCTTCCTTTGAAAATGATAGAAGTGCAAGCAGCGAAGACCTTAGTAGACCATCAAAAATGACAGCAGCTGGTGCGATGTCAGGTTTGAAATCCCGACGGCCATTTAGTCCAAGAGAAGCTCTGCGTTCAAAAGCCGTCATCAAACCTGCAATTGTGGAGAAAGATGTGAAGGAAATCATGGGTGGTGTGGGTTCTGGTCTGGAAACCAGCTGTGAAAAACAGCCTGCCACCTGTAAGACAGTAGCACATAAAATGACCAGCAGCATCACCATTTACCCATCTGAGCCAATTACTCCAAGGAGCAGCACAGTTGATGCTACAATTCAAACCATTCCAAGTGAACTCTCTCCAGGAGCAGATGCAACCAGCATTCCTAACGATTTCTCATTTAACAAGAGCAGTATAACCGTAAAGGTACCAGAGCCTGATAAAAATGGAGAGTCTGTTCTAAGAAGCAGAGTAGAAACGGTCATTTCCAAAAGCAGTATTACAATAAGGCCTTTGGACACCACCGAAAAAAACAGTGAACCGCCCACGGAGACAGTCGGTTGGAAGAGTCACAGTATTCTGGGGACAAACTCATCTGAGGCCAAGAACATCACGGTAAGAAGCTCATGGCGGACAAGACGAGGATTGCGTTCTTTGGAAGACTCTCTAGCCAAAGAGGTTGAACACGTAAATCCTCGGACTCCATGTAGGTCATCTACTGATCCTTCCAAACCAGAAGGGACCACGGCACGCATCTACGCGATTGAGCAGAATTCCAGAAGGGCAAGTGCCGGGACAAATTCTTGGAATACTCCAGAATTAGACTCTAGAAGGACCAAAAGTAACTTGAGTGCCTCGGAGATGCTAAGCCAGAAAAGCTGCGTCAATGAGCTTGTGACCGCTTCCTCTTGGAATTGCACAGTAATGCCAGTAAGTGTGTTCTTTTGTTCTGGAATAATTGCATTGTTAAATTAAGGTCGGAAGGGGACTGTTTATAAAAAGGGGAAATTACTCTTTTCTGGGGCTGGAACCTTTGCTTTAAGCAAGAGAATTGTCTCACCTGGCCTTAACCTTCCTCCATCCGTTCTGGTAATAATCAGAGTTAATCACATTTACATGTTTGTATGCATCTGACTGACTCAACTCTATAAATTTCTCAATTTCTCTATTAAGGGGTTCTACTGATATCCTTGCCCTATAGGAGAGTTTAGATGTAATTCATGTGCATATAGAGGGATGCTTAGGATGTGTCTGTACAACTCCATTAGATAGAAATTACCCAATCAGCATTCATTTCATGCCCCATAATCTGGGTGCTTTGCTGATTTGGCATATCTATCCTGCATTTGATGATTGTGTTTCTGTAGGTCATCCATGTACATCAACATTTTTTTATACTTTTGCACTTTCAGCCCTTAAATTTGCATAGCTTATGGTCCATGTGCAACCTAACTTTGACAACAATATGAATTACAACAATTTCAAGAACAGTTAAAAAGGGCTGGGGCAGCAAGATCTCTCTATACCTCAAAGGGAAGGGAAGATATTTGCTTTTTCCAACATTCTGTTCATCTTCATTTGTGCCTCAAACTCAACAGCTGGTTAATTTTCATTCAGAACTCTTCCATAAACTGCTGTTTTTTCTGGCCTTAAATGTTAAATCTTGATATTGTGCTTGGAGCTGCGGCAGAACTGAGTAGCAGTAAAAGGGCTTGTCCTACAGTTGACATTTCTAGGATCTGCTACTTCTTGATTCATCTCTAGATATTTGGGTCTTTCCTGTGTTCCCATGGATAGTGTGGAATTTCCCCACAATTATGTCAAGGACCAGAATGACTTAGTCCTTGTATCTTGTTGTGTCTCTGATACGAAACACATTTGTTTCAATTTTAATGGCATATTGGAAACAGATTTGGGTTGTGGTCTAATTTTTGCACTAGGTAGGGTTTGTTTTAACTTTTCATTTTATTTACTGAAATATTAAAAAGAATAAATAGCTACCAAATGAAGAAAAATAAAAATAAACACAGTGGATAAAGAGAGCAAAATAGTAAACAGGAAGGAAGTTTACAATTGTCATGAAATTGAAAGTTCATGATTTTCATTAATTAATTGCATAGAACAAAGTTCATTATATCATCTACAAAAACCTCCATGGAGAACTTTATAAAAACCTGAACATAATATTAGTATGCTGACTATTTATCATTATTGAAAGGATAAATGGATATTATCATTTAAACAGAAAACAAAAGAGCAAGGAAAAAAATAAAAGAAAAAAAGTTAAAGAAAAGCAGCCCTAAAAAAAAACCATTGTACTCCGACTAATAAATACATCAACATGTACATAAATGTCAGTGGTTTCCTCTGAACATCTTACTCAGTGTCTGCCTTTTTATATGAGTTATAGGTCAGCCATCCTTGCTTCAGTTTGATCAAGCTTCTCTTCAGAATGTGGACTGTTAATTTGTGCTTTTCAGATTCTCAGGGCCAAAGGTAGATGAGCACATGAAGATACGAATATAGGTTGTATCTTTTCTCAGGATTTTGCAGAAGGCACCCAGAGAAAAACTTGGCTATTTTAAAGAGTTGCAGTCAGTCAAAGTTCCCCTTTCCCTCTGGATTTGCAACAATGCATAGCCTTTGCATCAGTTATGTCTGCAGTTCTCAAATGCTTAATTTCATGCAGATGAAAAGTAACCACAGGCACACACAATCCTACATACCCCTTTCTCCCCCGTTTTATGTGTGTGTGTGTGTGTGTTTGTTGGGGGAGATCTTTTGGGATCTTTTGAAATGATTCTTCAGTCTTCATGTGTGACAATTGAGCATGCCTAGAAAGTATTGAATGCTTGCTGATTTATGGTGTGGTGGGGGAGGGATCGGAAATAGTAAATAAAGGGGAATAGAATTTGTAATCTGGGAGATGGTATGGCTGATCAGAATGATTCTGGACCACATTTTTTTAATGGGTGAGCTCTTTTAGAGAATGCCTTTGGTTGGTTGATTGAGTTAGATATTTGGGGTTCACAAATCTAAGCACAAGATTGACAAAGGGTTAGCTGGACTGCCCTGTTGGGATGAAAGTAGACTCATGCAAAAGAATTTAAGCAACATAGGCACGCCCATCCTTTCTTATACTTTTATTAACTTAAATCATCACAAAATGCTTGTGGTTGCCTCTATTAGTCCCTCTACATTGGATATGTTTTGATTCTTTCAAGAATTTCTACCAATGCTGTCTTATTTGATAGTGTTTATTTTCCCTCAATCCTTGGTACTTATTGACTTAATGCTGGACGATGGTAAAAATAAAATAACAGTGGTGAGAACATGAAAACCAGCCGAATCAGATAAACATAACAATGCTAGGATTCTAAAAGTAGCACGTTCCAAAGTCTTTGTTTGTGTTGTGCAACTAGAATCAAATTGCAACAGATAGAAAGTCCTAACAGCTCAGTTTATGGATCAGTTATATATCCAACCTAGCACCCCAGGCTTGTAATCCATCCTCCAGAAACTCTTTTTGAGAAGAGCTGCTTTCAAATTTTAAAGATTTGGGAGTTGTCACATTAACTGCATTTAATTAATTAAAAGAGAGTCAATTTGGTGCGGAGGTTAAGGAATCAGGCTAGAAACTGGGAAACTCTGAATTCTAGTCTCGCTTTAGGCATGAAAAACCAGCTGGGTGACTTTGGGCCAATCTCTTTCCCTCAGCCCTAGGAAGGAGGCAATGGCAAACCACTTATGAAAAATCTTGCAATTCAAGTGAATTGCAAGGGCTTAAGTTAGTCCAGGCAGTTTCCAAGAACCAGACACTACTGAACAGAAGAAAAAAAAGGAATTAAAACCTAATTGAATTAAAACTATTTTCCCCTTACTCTTTTGTCCTGGCTGTGCTCATTTTTCAAAGGATCCTGTCATGACACTCTGGCCCACAACATGTGGTGCAATGCAGCTCACCAGTAATCCATATAGGGAAGGAACCAAATATCTGTTGAGAAATCCCATGATTGTTAGGAAGGTTCTTGTTTATTCCATTCATAACCTGCTGATTTTCCAAGAATCCAGGGGAGGATTTTCTTGTCCAGAATCCGACAAGTCTGCTTTAACTATTACATCATTGTGTGCTACTTGCTCACAGTTCACAGCAATAAGCATTTCCATGGCTCTTTTTCCTGTCCTTAAGAACTTGTCAGCACTTTGGATTCTGTAAAAACTTGAAGTTCCTTCCTTCCACCCCAAATCTGAATGTCTCAACTAATCACGTTCTGTGGGTGAATTTCTCTCGGGGATCTATAGGGACCCCCAGAGAAATTCTCCCATAGACCATGGTTAGGCAAGCCACCACAGTATCCGGTCTCCAGGATTGCATTTTTGTTCTCCTTTTGTTATGTCTCTCCAAGCCAAACCTTTTCAATGGAAACTGCCCCAAATGAGTTGTAGTTCTCCAGCCTTTATTTATTAATTGCATTTGGAAAGCTGCCTCTTAGATGCTGAAAGATCTAAATTAAATCCTCTTCTATTTGCGCTGAATGGTTGCATGAGTCAGATAGTGTCAGTGAAAAGGCATAGCATGACTATTGGCTTCTGAGGAAGGACAGTGCTCTGCTCGGTGTGGTGCCCGCCAACCATTAGGATGTCTTGAGCACCAGCGATACAGTCTTGACCCCTTTGGCAGAGTCTAACTCTGGCCAGAAAATTCACAAGATGGTTAGAGCTGGTCATGAATTGCACTCCTGTTTCGCCATGTTCCTTGCCAGCTTTTCTCTCTCCCTCTCCCATCTGAACACCAGAAAAGGAATCTTGTCTCAGAAATTAGAATACCCAAGGAAAAAGACCCATTGTCCTAACTGACCTTCAGAATGCTGCCTTAAAAACAACCTGCTGACTGTAGACTTTTTGCTTAATTGTATAACCATCAAGAAGTAGAGACCTGTAAATTGCAATCTGTGTAGTTGTGGATGATGACTACCAATTGATTTGGGGTAACTCTTGGGAAGCAAATTTCTCCTCACCTAATTCCGGATCCTGCCATGAAGTACCAACAATAGGTACCTGATGCAAATGTTTTCTTTTTCTGATGCACTAGTAATTTACACAGCTCTCTCTCTCTCTCTCTCTCTCTCTCTCTCTCTCTCTCTCTCTCTCTCTCTCTCACACACACACACACACACACACACACACACCTCTAACATATCTTTTTATATATATCTATGTATCTATCTATCTCTGTCTATATCTATCATCTATATCTATCTCTAGTATCTATCTATGTACCTATCATCTCATTCATCTTTCAATATTTGCCTTGTCTATTTATATATATATATTATCTATACATCTCTCTGTCTCTTTCTCCCTCTTCCTCCCTCTCTCCACACACATACACACATGGACACACACACACACACACACACACACACATTTATGTGGCCACCCATTTCACTAAAGGTGAGCGTGTAGAGAACAAGAGTTGCAGATGTAATTCTCTGACTGAAAAAGTCTAAGGTCCATCACGGAGGCCTTTTTTCTCTGCAGTGACTTCTCTGGATGAGGGTTTTATGGAAGCAGTTTGGTTCAGCAAAACAATCATTAAATACAAATTTTTTTCTGGCAAGGAGTGGAAGGGTTGTCTTGTCTTTTCACACACACCCCTCCCCTACTGCTCATGAAACCAGAAAGTGGCAATTAAAAATGTGTAAAGGTGCAGGTTTTTTGAAAGGAGCCAGTTTTGAATGTTTGAAAGATTTTAGATCTTGTAATACAATGCACTCTGCTGGCATCAGCCTGAAAGTGCAGGATTGTACAGTAAGAAGTCTGTTTAGCTTATTTAATGGATTAAAAGTCACAGCCAGTAGATCCAAATCACATCTAAAAAAACAGCAGTGGGACAATTAAAAGTAAAATCAAAACTCAATGCTAAATACCACCTAAGATTTGGGGAAATGTTTTCAGTTCAGAAGATAAAGCCTGCAGGAATGGAACTTCCAGAGTTACTGGCTCCTTAAGAGGGAGAACTATTTGAGGGAAACCAAAACCTGAATTTAGGACTAGGATTAACAAGCCTGGGTTTAGAACTAGGGATTCTAGAGAGCATTTAGTCCAGCTCCATGGTTCAGAGAAGCAAATTAGACCGGGCAAAGAAACAGAAAAGTTAAGTTCATACAATATCCTCAACTAGGATAAAATGAGTGAGTTGATAGACTATGGTTCCAAATGTGGAAAACCAGAACAGTTGTGTTTTGTAAATCATGCTGGTGCCTAGTCACCAGAAACCTTGCAGCTAACTGGAGATTCCCAGCTCCACCCAATCCCCATATTCAGTGGCTTTTTTTTGTAAAAAACAAAACAAAACAAAACAAAAAAAACGCCAGAACTCACACATGTCATACAACCTACCTTGCCTACCCTACAAGGTTCCATCCAAAAAAGGTGCCGGAACTCCATTCTGGGCATTCTATGACAAAAAAAACCCTGCCCATATTGCTCCTGTTTGGTGTGTGTGTGTGTGTGTGTGTGTGTGTGTGTGTGTGTGTGTGTATATGTGTGTGTGTGTGTGTGTGTGTGTGTGTGTGTGTGTGTGTGTGTGTGTGTACCATCTCTGTCTGTGGCTATCTCGGCCCTTGGTGGATGTTCACCACCAGATGACCACAGGTAATCCTCAATTTACAACAGTTTGTTTAGTGACGCCCATTCAGAGATGCAATGGCACTGAAAAAAGTGACGTTTTCACACGATTGTAGTAGCATCCCCAGGGTCGTGTGATCCAAGCTCAGACATTTGGCAAGTGACTCATATTTATGACGGTTGCAGTGTCCCAGGGGTCACGTGATCCCCTTTTGCGACCTTCTGACAAGCAAAGTCAGTGGGGAATCCAGGTTCACTTAACTAATTTAACAACTACAGCGATTCACTTAACAACTTCAGCAAAAAAGGTCATAAAATGAAGCAAACTTCGCTTAACAAATGTTTCCTTTAGCGACATAAATTTTGGGCTCCATCGTGGCCATACATCGAGGACTACCTGTATAAGTGACTCACAAGGGATTGCTTTGTTAAAGTTCTTTCTCCTGCTTTTGATACAGGAAGACAAAGATTTTGCTCCCAGGAGAAAAGCATACAGCTCCTCTGAGCAACTGACATCAAGGAGGAGGCCAGAGGTCAAGGCGGAACTGAGCCGCCAATTTCCAAGCAGCAGGGCCGAGGAGCGGAGGCGGTGGTCCAGAGACCACTCAGAAGCCCACTGAACTGGCTGAGGGTAAGGCTAGGAATTACATTCACCTTTTTGAACCTTTTTATTTGCTTCAGTCTGTCTTTTCGGGAGTTCGGGAGTTCTAGACCGCCTAGATAGTGTTCCTTTCTTCCCTTTTTGCCACAGCAACCTTGCAGGTTGGCTTGGAAAGGAAGACTATCTCAAATCACGGGAAGTAGTAGCACTGCTTGATAAATCCTTAGTAAGGCCACACCTGGAATGTTGCATCCACTTTTGATCACCACCTTACAAAAAAGATGATGAGACTTTGGGGAAAAAATGCATGGAGCAACTAGGATGATTAAAGGCCTGGAGACAAAAACATATGAACAGTTGCAGGAACTGGGTATGGCTAGTCTGGAGAAAAGGACTAGGGATGACATGATAGTAGTATTCCAGTATTTGAGGGGCTGCTACAAAGAAGAACAGGGGGTCAACTTGTTTTCCAAAGCACCAGAAGGCAAGACATAGAAGCAACAGATGGAAACTAAGCAAGGAGAGAAGCAGCCTGGAACTAAGGAGAAACTTCCTGACAATGGGAACAATTAACCAGTGGAACAGCTTGCCTTCAGAAGTTGTAGGTGCTTCATCACTGGAGGTTTTTAAGAAGAGACTGGACAGCCACCTGTCTGAAATGATATAGGGTCTCCTGCTTGAGCAAGGGGTCGACTAGAAGACCTCCAAGGTCCCTTCCAGTTCTATTCTGTTTGAAATTTGCTTCTCTTGTTAACTCTTAAAACTATTTGGAAATCTACAGAACTCAGACCAAAACAAGGAGGTGTACCAAGAGTGTAAAATGACATACAAATAGAGAAATGTTGGCCTCATTTTGATTTCTTGCAGAATACTGCTGGTGGTATTGCTCTCAGAGTGCAATGTCACCTCAGTTAGCCACTTAGTGAGTTACTGATGGAGCTCAATGCATACATAAATCATATGAAGTACATGGATTAAAATTTCTACAGGTGGAAACTACTGCGAGGTTTCCATACTGGGTCTTGCACAATTGTCCCTCAAGCATTTTTAATATATGGCTTTAAAAAATATTACAGAACTTCATATGTAGCATTTGAATTGGCCTGTAAACAGAATGAAGATTATTTTGTGTGGAAGATGGTCACTTAATGGCCTCCTGAAGTTCTTGAATAGATTCTCCTCAGAATGTAGGTTTGAGGTCTTTCCCAATATGACTGAAGTATGGTATCCAAGGCAGCAAACATAACTAATACTCCCCCTCCTTTTTATTTTCCCCACAAAAACAACCCTATGAGATGGGTTGGACTGAGAAAGAATGACAGGCTAAAGTCACCCAGCTGGCTTTCACGCCTAAGGTGGGACTAGAATTCACAGTCTCCTAGTTATTGGCCCAAAGGCACCTAACTGGCTTTCATGACTAGAACTCACAGACTCCTGGTTTCTAGGCCAGCATCTTAACCATTACATCAAACTAGCTCTCAAACTGACATTTGATGTTGTCCTTTCTTTCCCTCTCTGTATCCCCAGCATATTTCCTGTTGCAGTTTGCATGACCTCCAGACCTGGAATTCCCATCTTTCTCCTGCTGCTGCTGCTGCTGCCAGTCCACCATGGGGGGACTAATACAGTGCCTGACCTTTACCCCCTTTCAGTGCTCAAGTACTCTCCTTCTCCTCTCCCCAAAACCCAGATGGACTTTTCTTTTAATGGTGGCTTTGCGTTCTCCTTTTCCTCCATGAAGGAGGAAGGGGAGACTTTGCTCAGGGGAATCCCACTCTGGAACTTTACCGAGCGCGAATCAATAGAGACTCTCAGCTTGCAACTCCTTGGAAATCTCCAAGAACTTTGGATTCTCGACTTGGGTGTTCGTTGACTCCACTCCAGGAAAAACTTTTGGTTTGGTTTGACTTGAAAGTCTCATGGAGAACCACTTTGGACTCGTCTCTGTGTGGTCCTCAGCTTTGGAGAGCCACTTACCTGACCCCTCTTGGCCATAACTCTTGAAGAATGGCCTAGCAGGGTTCATGGGCCACTGCTTCACAGTAGCAGCCTCTCTTCTTCCTCCTCCTTGCCCGCACTGTAACAGTTTGGCCGCTCATACCGATGTTTGACTGAGCCATCCAGAGAAGCAATAAATTGAGATGCATCTCCTCCAGCATCTCCTGCTCCACTGGCAGGGACTGGAGCAGCAAAGGTTGGTGGGTTCTCTTTGGCCTCAAAAAAAAAACGGTCTCTGCTTCCTTTCTTGTTGGCACAGCACACTCCTTGCAAACCCAGCCAGACTTGGGGTATACAACCACAAATCTCATCGGCAAGCCTTCCACTCTGCTCCCAATCAACTTGCAGCCTGATCCAAAGGAACAGCCTGTCCCGGGACCCAGCTTGCTCGGTGAGGCTGTTCTGACGTCATTTGAACTAAAGACCTAGAAGACTCAAGTGTGGCCGGCAGTTGGAGGCGTCTGATTTGTTCAGTTCCTCAGCGCATCCTTGGGGGGAGGGGGGAACACATTCTTTTATTTCTGCTACCTCACCACTTGCTTGGACAGGAGGACCAGAGTACGATCTTCCAGAGATCCAGTGGCTGCCCCTCTTCCACCTCTGAAACAGCAAATTGAATTTTGTTCACACAATCATCCCAGCCCCCCCCCCCCAAAGGTCTGTTTTCCATTGTACTCTATGTGCTTTGTTCAGATGCTGCTGTATTGTAGGTCTTCTTACCCGCCTCTGCCCGTTTTGCCAAGGTGCGACTCGAGAATTGATCACAATTAGCTGCTCTTCCCCTTTTAAATGAATCTCTCTCATGCACATGTACATGCCGAGTGCTAAAATGATGAGGACCAGTCCAGGGGTTTTCTAGGGCATGTGACCTGTGAGTCGTCATTCAACTCACAAATAACACCTTTCCAGCCTCCAGCTATTTGAGAAGAGATGTGCATGGGTTCCAAGAGTTAATTAAAAATGCAATTATTATGGCAGACAGTCCATGAGGATCAGATGACAGTAATGGGTTGAGGGATTAGCCAGGGGTTGCTGAGTTCACTCACCTGCACACCTTCCTCACTGCAAAGCTACTACCTGCAAAGCTTCTGCATTTGGGTAGCTGGGAGCAAACGTGGGAAAGTTCTGAGGTGTGAGAATATGTGGGTAACATGCTTCTCCTTTTCCTGTGAATGTTGTCCTGCAAGTTGCTTCACCCACACACCGGGAAGTAAACGTGAAGTTGATGTTCTTGGCATTCAAAACCAGGTTCTATTCAAACTTGGTCATTTTCTCTTCCCTCCCCCCCCCCCCCAGAATAGCCTTATAATTCCCTTGCTTCTGGTGTCATTCTGCTTCAGAAGCATAGTAGTCACCTTTTGGGGGGAAAGGGGAGGGCTGTATCAGCACCACCCAACGTTGTCACCTCCTCACCATCAACCATCACCTCCTCACTGTCAGTCATTACCTATTACCACCACCCACCATCAATTTCTTCCTCCAAAAGCATTTGATGGCTGTCTGATGATGTTAGGCCTCAGAGTGTAGCATTGTGCGCTTCAAAAAGATTTGCCTCCCTCTGAGCCGGTGCTTCCCAAATGGGAAGACATTACTCAAAACTGAGCAAAATTGTGTTTTGTTTCTTTGAGCAACAGCGCATGACTCCTTTACCAATCAGGATAGGGACATTTCAGTTGACTTAAAGATTGCCACGTGCGCTAAAGTATCTCACAAAGCTTTCCTATTAAGATGGTAGAGGAAATTACAATTGGTAATTTGTTGAAATGACGTAAAGATAATTGGGTTATAAATGTTTGTTTAATACCGGTAGTCCTCGAGTTACGATCATTCATTCTGTGACAGTTTGAAGTTACAATGGTGCTGGAGGAAGGGAGTTACAACAGGTCCTCAAAGTTTGATGAGGCTTTTTGATAAGCAGTTTTGGGTAATGAAGGAAAATGTTTGGAAGCCCTGTTCTAAGGGTCTGTGAGCTTGGCACTTTAAGAGTTGTGGACTTCAGCTCCCAGAATTCCTTAGCCAGCATGGCTAGTTGAGGAATTCTGGGTGTTGAAGTCCATGAGTCTTAAAGTTGCCAAGTTTGGAGAGCCCTGCTCTAAGCCATCGTCACCTTATTCAACCATATAGAAGGGGAAATCCCACTGGAATATCTTTGCTCAAGAGAAAAGAACCCACATCCCCCATTCATCTCTTCCCCGCAAAGATGAGTGCCTGTGTTCACACAATAGGCTAAACCAAGAAGCACCGTTAACAAGTGCATGTGTTCCATGCCATCTTACTCCCACTGAATATGAGTTTAATGGAAAGTTTAGACTTACTGTGGCAGCCGTGGCTGGAGTTGTCAGCATGTTAAACTTACAGAAACAGGAGACTATAGCCAGAGTATGCTGCATGTGCAAAGGTCTGCTTTATGTCAAACAAGGATTTGAATAACACAATCAGACTTTATTTAAAAACTTATGCGCGACCAGAATGGGGGCCAGGTGGGAACACAATCAGTGTTGTCATTCCTTCATTGCTGTTGAAAAACCAGCCATTTTGGTACCTTTCGAGGATTTCAACATGAATTCAGTTCTGGAACCACAAAGGGTATTTATTTCTTTACCTTGTAATATTTTGAATCTAAACTAATGCTCCCATTTGCATGCCACGTTTTCTTTAGCACAACAGGAATAAAAGGAGATGGAAGGGTTGTTTTTTGTTTTAAAAAGCCTGGGAAGCCTAAGGCAGGCTAAAAAATGTCAGTGGGCTTCTATCTGCTAGTGCTTCAGACATGAAGCTGAAACAACCCACTGTTGGTTTGGCTTATGAAAGGGTATCACAGCTGGTTCTTGTCTCATAACAGAATAAAGGGAAAATTGGGGAGGTAGTCAAGAGACTGAATGCCTTAGTTCCAAAACTACATTTCTGCACATTGTATTTGCATAACCAGGGTTAGTTCAGTGGGCCAAGGCTCAGCCTTTGATGGAGTAGTACCAAATGATGGTGACCAAGTTTTGCACCTCTTTTTAAGATCTAAGCCTTTATTTCATGCTCCAGCAATTTCTGGATAGGTTGTTGCAACGTAACACTATTTTTATTTTTTGGCAAGTCTTCCAGCTTGTGAGGATGGAGGGATGGGGAATGAAGAAAACCTTAACTGATTTGTGTCCATTGATGGGTGCCAAGTTTACATGAAAGTCTTATTTGCTCTATGTCAGTGGTGGCGAACCTATGGCACGGGTGCCAGAGGCAGCACTCAGAACTTTCTCTGTGGGCATGCGTGCCGTCACCCCAGTCCTAGGCCTTCAGCTGGGTTTTATAAAACTTTTTCACTTTAGGCCTCTGCCACCGTGTGCAAAAAAAAAAAAAAAAAGTTCAATCAGTCAATTTCAACTTCTCGCGGGGAAAAAAAGGTCTTGCAAAGTTGGAATTGATTGAACTTTTTAGTCCCACCCAGTCTGCCGTTAACACTACAGCCACGCCCACGCAATTGGCCATGCCCAGCCAATAGGCCACATCCACCTGGCACCCGACGATGCATAAGTGGGTTTTGGGTTGCAGTTTGGGCACTTGGTCTCTAAAAGGTTTGCCATCACTGCTCTATGTGGTAACCAACCTGTAGTAGCCATTTTAATGAGTGTGCTTTGTGTGCCTGATCTAGTAATAAGATGAGGCTTGTGGATTAATCCCCCCCAAAGGATGCTTTTTTAAAATAGTGCCTCCCCTCAAAAAGAAGCCATTCCACCATGAATTAAAGAAAGCACTTTAGCATATGAAACACGATATAAACAGTTCCATTCTTCTTGATCTCAGGCAACTTGAAAATTAAATCTGCAATGATTCTGCTGCTATTTGAGCCATTCCTTCAATTGGGTCAGAGATACTGCAATGCCGGGGGAAGGGGGCAATTGCAACATCTAACCCTAATTCTAAAGATTGTGGTTCCTACAGGGTGTTTAAATTCCTTCCTAAAGCATATTCCTTTTAGCAATGAAATTCCAGGTGTTAACGTTCCTCAATCAGCTAACATTACTTCAAACTTGGCCCTTTTATGACTTGTGGACTTCAACTCCCAGAATTCCTCAGCCAGGCACGGTTGAAGTCCACAAGTCATAAAAGGGCCAAGTTTGAAGACCCCTGCATTATGGGCTAAAATGTGGTCATTTTCATTTGTGCCTCGTCAACTGCAGCCCTAGTAGATACTTAACCAAGACACTTATGCAAAGCTGAGCACCATTTAGTGGCATGCTAAGCTTGATTAGTCTTAAACTTGGTGGTTGTTTGTTGGGCTTAGGGTGTGGACTGATCCAAGTCCCTTTGGGTAGTTCAGGGATTTCCAATTTTTTTTTTAGTGCTTTCCTAAAACAATAAATGCATTTTTTGTGAGACCCTCTCCCAATAATTGATTTAATGAGGGTAGAGTTTCAGCAAGAAATAAATGTTCCGTTTACTTCGAATCATGGTTAGCCTGCATATCAGAGGCAATCATAACATTTGCAGCAAACAGACAAAGGGAAGAGCAAAGGCCAGAATAAATTTTAAATCTGTCTACCTGTGCTAGATGGATGGTTACAAAGATTATAACCCTCTTCTAAAAAGATCCTTTCCTTACTGGGCTGGCCCAACTCCATTTGAAACCCTTGAATTAAATTATGGTTCAATGCATTGTCCAAACGCAGAAAGTAGCTTAATCCAGGAACCAGGTTCAACATGTTGATGTCAGTTTACATGCAAACACAGCCCCTGAAAATATTTTCAGTCTTTAACTCAACAAGGCAGGGACAATCTCTTTTTTTTACCTCCAAGATTACTTCAGTTAACTCGTCAGAACTCTGTAGCTTTCACTTGTGAAAAACAAGCTGTCTTCCAAGTAACCTGTCCAAGCCCAAATATAAGTGGTCTGTATACCCTAGTAGAGGCCTTTTCATTTCTCTATTCCTTCCGGAAGTTAAATTATGCTAGCTCTAAAAAGTTGCCAACATGCTATCATAGCTCTGGCACAGCCGATAAGATCAGCTTTGTTTCTCCACTACTGCAGTCTTTATTTTGGGGGTGTGGGTGCGATCGGTTTCTGTTTCTTAGGCCTTAGAAAAGGGGTGTCCAACCTTGGCCACTTTTAAGATTTGCAGACTTCGTCTCCCAGAATTCCCCAGCCAGCTACGCATCGTTGACTGGGGAATTCTGGGAGTTAAGGTCCATAGGTCTTAAAAGTGGTCAAGGTTGGACACTGCCTGCCTTAGAATATACTTGAACAGCTGGGAAGAAGAGGAGATCTTTCTGAGAACGGTTTGGGACATAAATCTGTCCTCGTTTGAGCAAAGTTTTCTTCTGCTCTATGTATTTACAAAATCCACTGAATTGATAGCTACCATATCCATTCTTATTAGGGATTGGGTGGGGGCAGAAATAAGATTCTGCAGAAGAAATATATTTTCCTTAATTAAATATTAAGACCGTGTCTTCACTGTTACATATCAGGGAGTCTATTTCCCATTCTCAGTTTTGTAATTCCACATCAGTAATCTTGTATTAAACTAGATGTAGAGCAATAAATAATCCTTATTGCCAGAGAGGGGAAGGGGTGTTATTCAGTAAATGGCTCCATAAAATCAGGATTATAAACCCTACAGGAAGGCTAACCCCGAGTGCAATAAGAGCTGATTGTATTTGTGAACATAAGTGAGGATTTCAGGACATGATGATTGGTTCAGCTTGCACACTTTTAATGAAAGACAACTGTAAAGTGTATTTGTAAATATTTGCCAGTGTTTGGGGTGAATTAATTAATTTCTGTTTTAAAGTGTAAGATGTATAACTACCGTAGGGAATCCCCCAGGGACTTTCTGATGCTGAAAAATTGTATGACTTTTAAGGAACAAAAAACAACAATCCAGTGTTGTAATTATATTTGATGCACGTGAATTTTCTTCATTTCTTTCTTTAACTCAAGAAACTTAAACCATGCAGCTTCTCCCGCCAGAGGATCAGGAGACGTGCGCTTCTTAACAAGCACAATGACCTGTCCTTGCTCCTTTCCTATCACTGCTGAAGCAACACTGCAGCTCTGATCGAGAGCCAGGTATCTTGTTGACCAAATTAGAGTTTTGTACGCATGAAGTCCCAACTTCATGAGACCGATATGCAAGCTGCTGCCAGCCAGAGTAGACAGTACTTGGCGTACTTAGCTTCATACTTTAGTATGCCATTAAGAGGCAAGACTGATTTAGTGATAAAACGCTGACATCCGAGTGCCAAGAACTTAGGGTTTTAGCCATAGGGTCAGTCAGAAAGGCCCTGCATGTATGCAGCAGCCCCTTCCCTGCCCACTCAATTTACGTAATGAGAAGGCTGTTTTGCTGCTTTAGTTAAAAGCCCAACGTGATCGCCAAAGAAGGAAAGAGCAGGGAGAGACTGCTGTGCAGAAGTTCTCCCTTTCTTTTTCCTTCTTGGTTAGAGACCAAAGGAATTACTTTCTCTTTTTTTGTAGCTGTTGGAAGCCCAAATTCGTCTTCCATACCTGCACAAAAGGAGAGGCATGTTGGTCTTCCTGCCATGAAACACTTGAGAATCCTTCAACTTCTGTGGAATGTATTTTTAAGAGATGAAAATATATTTTTTCTATTTGCTAATGTCCAGGCCAGGTGGAAAAGGGACTGCAGAAGTCAGACAGTGTTGTGTTCTTTTCAGGTGAAGAAAAAAAGCAAGTGCAATTTCAGCCCACAATATCCTGAGCGCCTCAGCTCCCAGACCGCCACATGCTCAGCCAATGACCAGCACTATCCAGGTCACGCTCCCCCTGACTCGCAAGGAAGCAATAGAATACTAGCATGCTGGCTGGGTAAAGGCTCCCATTCTTTCACCTCTCAAACTCGCCTATGCACTGGACAGCAGGCAGTGTGAACCTGCCAGTTACACAGAGCAACGAGTCTGCATGTTATGTTTAAACACATTTTTTTTTTGTCCGCATGTTATCTTCTGACTAATGCTATCTGTTCTGCAGTACATAATCAATAAAATTATTTGTATGTTAATGCAACTTGTGAGGCAGAAAAGTCCTTTTGCTTCTTCCATGGGATGATGTGTTGACAATGTTATGGATCACAAAGTGTACCATTCTGATAGTTAAGCCTGCATCTCCTCACCCTTCTGACGGGGTCCATAGTTGGGAGTTTTTTAACTTTTAAAACCCACAAAGGAGACCCAACAGAAGAGAATATTTGTAGCTCAAAGTTGAACTGTGGGACCCTTGGTGCTCTCTGAATTTGGTGGTTTTTCTTGCCGATGTTTCATTACCCAACCAGGTAATAGTATCAGTGCTGATTGGATAATGAAATGTTTGCAAGGAAACAACCAAACTCAGAACACCTAGGACCCTACAACACAATAGCATGCTGTACTTAAACAAAAAAAGAACACATTGGAAGTTTTTTTAAAAAAAATTTATAAAGGTTTTTTTTTTTTTTGCTTTCTAAGCCAAATCAATGTAAAACGAACTTACCTTAATTACTAACAGCTATCTTACAAGAACTCTAAACCATAGGAAGAAAGTTAACCAAAACCACATATGTACCTAAGATGTTCCAACTTGAGAGACTCAGTTTATTTTCGGAGTAGTATGAATGCTACTCTGGTGGAAAGCATTTTCAAGTGATGGATACCTTCTCTGTTCTCCACTTCCAACTTCTGGATTAAGCCCTCCAACCAGTAGTGCTACAGAACACAATTTCACTTGCTTCTAACAGAGTCCACGCCAAGAATTTTGAGCCTACTGCACCATCTCTCGCACTGGCATCTTCACATAGGAGGCGTCTGTTGTGCTGTTGCCACAGGGGTCGCTTGGCGAGGGAGAGTGTACATCGCACCAAGAAACTGGTCTGCAATACGTCCAGCTTCTCTCAGGCCACTTAGCAGTGCTCCATGAACTGTCGCTGGGTAGTTACGAATTGTATGTTCTCCAGCAAAGAAGAGGCGAGGAATGGGCTGGAAAAGAAAGAGCAGGTGGGCAATGGCTTGAGACCCTTTGGGGAGGGTAATGGGGCTTTGGTAAAATAAGGACAGTCAGAGTCAGCTTTGTTTTTAGTGATACCCCTGGGAAATGGAGACTGGATGGGAGAATAATTTGTAAATTTTGCAGAAGCAGCAATAAGAATTGCAAAAATGTGTCATGCGCTTCAGAAGAAGAGGGCAAAGGAAAATAGCATATTTCTCTGATACAAAAACAAGAATTTAAATTTAGCAAATGATAATGGTGAGCCTCAAAACATGTTCAGATAGGAAACTTTTTAAAACATGGATGGAAGGACTTGCTCAACCTGGTGTGGGGACTCAAC